ATATATAAAATATTTTCTATATATAAAATATATATACTGTATATACACACATTATATTTCGTTGTATGTTCTCTAGATCAAACTGTCAACATTAAACTTTGGACAGTTTAGGTGTTGAAAACAGGCAGGCTGCAGGTAAAACACACCTGAGTTATAAATTAAATGGAACGGTTCTCACTTTAAASAGTTTATTTTAATGTTTGTGTTGTTTATTTGTAAAAGAGAGGAGCGCTGATAAAAACCAGCTGCTACTCACGAAGGAGCTCTGCTGACATTTTTCATGATTAAAACGTTACGAAGCTAAAGACAGGAAATCCAACTGTTGGTCAGAAACAAAGCCCTGAGGTGTGTTCTCACCTGTCGGGACAGACAGGTAAAGCTTCACACACTTCCTACCTCTGAACATCGTAGTTGGCGTTGAAGAGGCTGCCCTGCCACAGACCTGTGATCTCCTCCGTCTCCTTCTCCGTGGGATTTCCTGACACCGTAGCAAACACCATCAGGGTCCGGCCTTTCTTTGACATCTTCAGGAGCTCCTCTGGTTTGGACGCGTCCACCTTGGAGAAATCGATGGGTGGAGGAGAGCGTCTGTGCTCAGGAAGGTCTCCTTCTTCAATGTCATCATCTTCCTAAAACATACAGCAAAGCTTCTCTGTGACCCCAAACTGTTTTCTTCAGTTTCTAACCTGATCACAGAAAATGACTTGTACACACTTTACTGTTTACAGTAAAACAAACCGTTTTCTACCTGCAGGTAGAAATAACCTGGTACCATCAGTACAGTAAGGTAAAAGATATATTACTGCCATCAGCTAGGCTAACAGCCACTAAGCTAACAGAAGTAGACATGTTAACAGCAGCCGTCGGGCTAACAACTGCAGCCAGGCTAACAGCAGACAGCTATAAGTCAGGCTAACACTAGTCAAGCTAACAGCAGATAACTATAAGTCAGGCTAACACTAGTCAAGCTAACAGCAGATAACTATAAGTCAGGCTAACACTATTCAAGCTAACAGCAGATAACTATAAGTCAGGCTAACACT